GAACAAGTGGCTGCAGCCTGTGGGTTTCGGGGTTTCCAAGCCCAAGCAGGGATCTTGAACTACTATCATTTTGACTCTTCGCTGGGAATTCATGTGGATGAGTCTGAACTAGACCATTCTCGGCCCCTGTTATCATTCAGGTGAGTCAAGGAAAGCGCACTTGAGTATTATGGAAAGATCAGTGGCTTTTTTCCTAGGGTTGCTTATGGTTATAGGAAGGCAGTATGATGTAGTTTGCTAATTGGGTATATAATCTTCACTCTCAGAAGATTTGAATAGCAGAAGACTGTAGGTCAGGGATATAGGTTTTTCCTTAAGGACTGCTTAAATAGCCTGGATATAGTGCCTGGACTGAAGAGTTCTTTTGCAGACAGCACATTTCTGTTCTAAAGCAGCAGAGTGCCAGTTGGGTACTGAAGAAGTATCTCAGCAAAGCTTCAAACCTGGCAGGGCAATTGCTCACAGTGTGCCTATCCTGAACCAGGTCACTTAGTCTGTTTGCCATGTTTTCACCTAAAAGTTGTTCTTAAGAGTCCCTCTGGTTTTTGTGATTGCTTGGAGTGTTCTTGATGAAGGAATTTAACTACTTATATTTTTTTACTGTACAGAAAATTGTTCTCTACCTGAATTTGTTTTCTCTCTCCATCTTTATACCATTTCTAGTTTTGGGCAATCCTCAATATTTTTGCTTGGAGGCCTGAAGCGGGAGGAGGCCCCAACAGCAATGTTCATGCACAGCGGAGATATCATGGTGATGTCTGGCTTCAGCCGCCTGCTGTACCATGCTGTCCCCAGGGTCCTCCCCAACCCTGAGGGGACAGCTCTGCCTTCGTGCCTCAACCAAGCTCTTTCTTCAGACCTTCCTGTTGGCTCAGTCATTGAGCACAGCTCTGATGAGGACTGGCAGGTGTGTGCCAAGTACCTGCAGTCCTCCCGCATCAACATGACTATTCGACAGGTGTTGGCTGAGGGTCAGAAATTTCCAGAAGAATCTGGGACAAACGGAAAGAGCCAAGCGCCCTCTGAAGACAGTTATCATGAGAACAGCAAAGCCAAAAGACATAAACCAAACAGAGTCAGCTGAAACCAGGAGATGATACTGACATGGACCAGACAGGCAATCTCCATATGGAATTAGGAACTGGTGTAATACTGGAAGTCACTTGTCTGTATTGCAGTTAATAAACTTGTGCAGAATAAATGTAGTCCTTCTTGTTATAATAAATAGGTAGGAGGAGAAAAAGAATTTAAAAGGAAAAGAAGGACTGGGACTCAGGAGATTAACTCTATTGGCATTTTGTTGTAAATGTTTACTGCACTCTATTTTGTTTAAAATACCTGTATGTCAGAGAACTTTAAGCTTGGTTGAGCTTAAATGGTTTAAGCCTTTGGTGAAGCTTGGTTTAAGCTTTAGGAATGATGCTTATAAAGTATTTTGAAATTATTGGGAAGAGAGTGTTAGTGGAAGATACATAATTGTTATGTGATAGAGAATCCTGTTGGCTTGTAAAGCTCAGTTGAAGCTGAGTAACAAGTATGAGTATGAATGAGAATAGGGTGCTATGGGTGTAAGACCTACCTGCAGCATTTTCAAGATAATTACTTCTGCAGCAAAAATGGGTTCAGTGGTCAGAAACTGGCAACTCCCTCAAGCAGCACCTTGCTGTAAGCTTTATATAGTCCTGTGCTCTCCTTTGGCCTGTTTGCATCCCCTCAGCTGCAGCAGAATCTGCTTTTATGAATGGTACTGAACATCTTATCTCATGTTTTAGAGAGAAACAGTTGGGAGTGATAGCTACTTAGAATATCTAGGACCTCCCAACTGGGTCTCCTCCCAGTAGTATGTGACTGAGCCCAACATGGCCATTCTTTCAAAACTGCCCTCTCCTAAGTGCCTGTGTGTTACAGTTCTCCAGTCCCAAGCTAGCACCTGTAAGGAACAGGATGACTTGCAAATAATAGTAACGAAGCTGTAAATTAAGTACCTAAAAAATGAATCAGTGACTATCTCTGTCACACAGAGATAAATATATTGAAACAAAGAAAAGCACTAGTTTTTGTGCTAGATCTTTTTAAGATTCAGACCTTCCTATCTACTTTTTAATGCAGTTTTAATTGTTTGAGTGGAATGCACTATCCCTGGGGTATTTTGTTGCATTTTCCCAATGAATAGACTTACTTGGTTTTAAATTAAAGATCTTTATCAGTTTTGGGCTGGCTATTTTCTTCTTTTCTTTTTCTCCCTGTTAGTTGTTCCATGTATTGTTAATGCTGCTGTATCTCTTGTGCAGTACCCTCCAGGCTTCTTTTGGATCTACTCCCTCTGCAATCTGCTAGTTCCTGTGGAGGAGCTCTGCGTATGTCTGCAGGGCTGCTTTGCTTATGGCAGTTCAGGGTTTGTTGGGCAGTTGCAGAGGGGCGTTGCCTGCAGTATCAAAGTCCAGTTTAATACATACGTGACAGCTTTTCCTCATGGGTAAAGTGTCTGGTCTGCTTATCTCATAGGAAGTGAATGTGTGTTTGCATGCAATTAATTCCTTATGCAATACTGCAAGGAGTTCCAGTAACTGAAGGTCTAAAATAATCAGATATGAGTTTTAATGTTTTATTCTGTGCTAGATGTGTGTCCTTTCTGTAGCCTGGCCCTGGTATATTTACAGCTGAGCCCTAAGAGAGTGAATATATTATGCAGAGAGGTTACAACATGACCAGAAAGGAAAGTTGACCGAGTCAAGCTCAGAAAACAGCAAAGCTCCCTTACTGGCACCTGAAGATGGAGAAGGATGGAGAGGAATATCCCTTTTCCTAACTGAGAAGGAAGCAAAGATTGTCCAACTCTCTCATCTCTGATGAGACAAGAAGGTGGTGAACAGGAACTGGTTTCTTCATCTCACAGGCTAAATTGTAAGTCTATGGTTTTCACGTCTTTTGTTCCCTATAAATGTATAATATATGACAAGTAGTCATTTATTCCAGGATTCATTTGTTCCTGTGATATAAGGACAAAAAAAGCATACTGTTTACCCTCTGCAGTTAAAAATTGTAGTAAATGCTGTGAACTACTGATTGTAATTGGTCATGAGAAGTATCCAGTCCATTGAAGCCGTATGTTTAGATGTGACTGAGTTGAGAATTCGCTTAGTTAGTTGCAGTCAAGCTTTTTATCTAATGCCATTGTAAGACAGCCCTGGTCTAATTCTGTATCAGACACTCAGAAAATGAAAAGTCTATGACCCAGAAATGGACATATGAGAAATGATCCAGAAAAAAAAAAGTATTGGTGTACCATAAGAAACAACAATAAAAACAGAGAATTTTCTGAACTGCCAGCCTAGCAGGATTATTGGTTCTTTGAGCAGAGCAGAAGGGAGTACAAGTGAGCAAACCAAAGGACTTCTGCAGACTCTGCAAACTGTGCTTCCAGAATATAATTTCAAAGAGGCAGTAAGTTGTGGGAAGTAGGCAGGGAGTAGGGTTTCATCCAGTCATGTACTCAGGAGCCATTGACCTATTCCACACAGCTCTCAGAGTCTGACATTTGCACCACATTTGCTTGGGATTGTGATGACGCAAAAGAATTTTTCCATAGCACTGATGAAATATTTGTATCTATAGGTACCACAAATAATTGCTTGTGTTCATATAGGTGTGTGCTGAGATAATCTCTGTAGTTTGTAATTCCTCTGAGGGAGAGGAGGGAAAGAACAGGACATCAGGACCAATTCTGCAAGAAAATTTATGTAATGAGTTGATTACAGGAAGGTAAGTATGTGTTTCTTTCAAAGCCACCTGGAAATGAAGCACATTGTTTACCACATATACACTGTTCATTATGTGATCTGTAGATAAAGCTAGCTGTCCAACAATTGCTGCTTTTTTTAAAATCAAGAATAAAGGGAAAATAAATCTCCAGTTAAATGAGAAAGTGCAGTGGGATGAATACTGGAAGCAGAAGAGGAAGCTGCCTGTACAAACGAAAAATTTTCAGTCCTCTTGAGAGAACTGTGCTAGAATAGTTCAGTGTTACAACTGGACTGCTGGCTGGTGCCCATGACAAATTTACTGCATGCTCCATGCTACCAGACAGTAACTTATGGGCAAGGTCTTCCCTAAAGCTGTGCCTGCTGCTTGAATGATTCTGATCTTAGGTATTTTTCCTTTCTTTGAGAGTTTATTGACATTTTTTCCTCACTGTTTCACAGCAGATATTTCTACAGATGGCAGTAAGGTGCAGCTAAGCTCCTCTATTTCGTTGTGTGCTCTGGTGAGCTAGTAGGTAGAGAGAAGCAAGTGGCTAGGGAAGGAAGCTGGGTAGGGACTGCCAAGACAGCAGCAACATCACACTGCCATGGCTGGGGTGAAGCTGGCCAGAATCTCATGTAGTGCAGACAGCAGCTCAGATCTGTCTTGTTCTATTCATACTAGTTATTCTCTGCATCGTACCTAAAACAGGATAGATTTAACACAGAAAAGAGACTTGCTAGGGATAAGATTGTCTTCCACTTAATTAGGATGCAAAATTAATTGAGCAGTAATTCAGTGTGCTCTAAGCATACTTTAGTTCTGATGAAATTGTAAAACTTGCCTGAGTCTGAACATGTTACCTCAAAAAATTAACAGAAGGACATAGCCTGCAGACATTAATAATACAGAAAAATCTGTTGATAGAGGCCTCAAAAGACCAATATATAAAAGGCCTTTTTTTAGTTAATAATCTTTAGGGAAGAAGAGACTTACAGAAAACCAGTGACGGTGACAGTCATCCACGGTCTGCTGATGCCGCCATAAATCCTAATAACCAAAGCTGGTTGAAAACAGTCTATAGCATAAGGTTATAGATATGGTACAAGGGGGCACAAGATGTATCTGACACAAGTTTAGCACAGTACAAAGTAAGTTTAATTATTTATAGTCAGCAAATAATAATCACAAATACCTTAATAAAACCATTTTTCTATGGTTTTGAACAATGAATTGAACAATGACTATGTTCACATGTCCTCTGGTAAAGTTGAGGTGAGATAAAAGTTGCCACTTTAAGTAATAGCTTTGCTCATACAAGCTGTTTTCTTGCATCTTCATCTGGACAGAAGGTGAAGGACCATAGATAGAAATGGTGGTTGAAGGGGTCTCTGGAGGTGTTTAGTCCAACCTCCCACTAGGAATTAGTGCTGTTGTCTACATGACACTTAGAAACCTTCTGTGATGGAGACCCTTTCTTTCAGTAACTTGTGCCCAGTGCTGTCATACTCGCCTTATGAAAAATTTTCACCTGAGCTTCCAAGGATACAACCTCTATCCATTCTCTCTGCCTTTTTCTGCCCATCTATTACTACCAGGAGTTTCCTTCCACTTTCTTTGTGACTTTCCTACAAATAATTGAAGTCTACAGTTAGACCATCTCCCCTTGGTCTACTCTGAGCTGCATGGAAGGACTCCAGGAACCACAGCATTTCCCTATAGGTATGTGCCCTGGACCCCCACCTTCCTTCACTTTAGCCCTGTTAAGAACCTTGTCTGATTTCAGGTGCTGCACCACTCTCTCTGCTAAGTCTGGTTTTTGTTACAATTAGGAAGCCAACAGCAAATTGCCCTTAAATCCTAGTTCCTAAATCTGGTACATGCATTAGATCCACTTTTTTTACAGTGTTTCCTAAATTAAGTATTTTTTCCTCCCATCTACATCATCATAAAATAAAAGTAGTAGTTTCATGAGGTGCAGAATAAATGAACCATAGTCCCCTATGGATTTTTATTCCTGAAAATTTGAGTTGTCACTGAAGCTTTTCATGCAGATGAGTACTTATATGTGATATTTTCCTATGTGATGTCCCCAGAGTTTAATACATGCACAGTGCACCATTTTCCTGACTCAGGATTTTTATAGGGTCCCTCTCCTCTAACTGGCTACCTACTACCTGCATGAACTTTGTTTGCTGTGAAATGTATCTAATTTAATTAAAATAGATGAACAGGTTTCAAAGTTACTGGAAAGGAATGGAGGACACACTGAGTTTAACACATCCACAAGCCATAAAAACATGCTTTCTTCCTTTAGGAAACCAGTCTCAAGGATACTTTCATGCTCTTAATGCAAGCTGATCTGGACTTCTGGAGCAGGTCCTTCTCTGAAGGATTCTGCTCTTGACATCCCAGAGAGAAGAGAAACAATCTGGAATAACAGAGTCATTTTAGTCCAGTAGGCACAATCCCCATCTGGTTCCTGCAATTATATCACCCCCCCCCTTAGAAGAAGCTGACTGTGCACAGAGACTGAAGTTAATCAGCTAAATGCTTATCTCTCCAAGATGGTAAATAAATCTCTGGAGTACAGCAGGGAGTCAGACCTGATTTTTATTTGAAGCTATGGCTTGTATTCAGATAGGCATAATGGAAAGTACCACTTCCACTGGTTCAGGGGTGAAGGAGAGAGGGGATAAAGTCTTGAAAAGACTGTAGTAGCTTTTCCTCTTTTCAGAATAGAGGTGTTTATTCTTCTGGATGAGGAAGCAAAAGCTTTAACCTTGTAGAGACACTTCCCATCTTGATTTTTACTCAGTAGAGATTATTCTGTCTCTGACCTTTTCCTGTGGGGCTGTTGAATGTCTTCTTCCACAATGTCCCCATGTGTAGTGGACTCTCCCCTGAGCTTCTCTGTGTAGCCTGACCCTTTCTGTCCATGTAATCATGCATCTCAGCACTGGGGTTGTGCTCTCCTTCACCATCACTCAATGCTTATTCCTTAATTCAAGAGCTCAGTGCTGCTGCCACCTGCCCACACTACAGCTTTTCTAATCTGCTTTGTGATGTCAAAGTTCTTCCAAAGTATAGGTCCAGGACCATTAGACCCTGGAAGTTTAGAAGCAAGGCCAGTTTATAACAAAATGTGGGGAAACTGAAATAGAGGCAATGTGAGGTGGTATTCATACTTATGTGTGGAAATGGTGCTTTGGGACATGGTTTAGTGGTGGACTTGGCTGTCCACTACAGCCAAGGTTAAGGTTTAGGTGTTAGGTTTATGCTTGGACTTGATGATCTTAGGGGTATTTTCCAACTTAAATGATGTTATAAGTCTCTGAGGTACAGTGAAACACTCTCCAAATACTCTTGTTGAACTACGTATAAAGAGTGAGTCAGCCTAGAAGACATAAGAGTCTCTTTCTCCTCTGATGTTAAGAAGTCAGTATTATACATTAACTTTTAGCTTCCTTGTAGGTGAATTTAAAAAACTCACTCTGTATTTACTGAGGAAGGCCAGAAGAATCAATAAAGGCCTTGGCTTTCTAGAGGTGATCATCTCACCAATCATTCCTTCTCTGTTCTGTGCTAAGGGCTTAGATAAGAAGATTTTGTTTTTGTTTTCTTTCTCCTTAATGGATAGGTTTCTTAATTAGGGTGGGGGAAAAATGACTGCAATTTTGTTGTGGCAAATTAAAACCAAAATGAAGTGGCAAAGAGCAGGATCTAAAGGGAAGGGGGGGCAATCAGAGACAGCTATTGATTTGGAAATGATTGAGTAGCCAAAAAAGAGCACAGAGCCTGAAAAGGAGACTCATCTTTCAAAGCACTGTTCTTGTTGAAAACAATCAGTCCAGGCAGAGGTGTTGGTTGATGCTAAGGCTTTGGAGTTAGATTTGTTTCCAGACAGAATTTAAATTTTGGAAAGACTCACTTGTTCATAAGGGGATAATTCTTAGACAAATTCTGAGATTATGAGAACTAGGAATCACGAAATAGAGCTGAAAAAAAGTAAAACTGAGTGGAGCATCAAGACATTTTCAGCAGTAACAAAAAAAAGTTTGGAAATAGTTTCTTCCAAGGACAAAGTGTCACTGCTCACCACAGCCTCGGCAGGCAGAGAAATGGAAAAAAACCAGACACTGAATATGAGACAAGGACTAAAATCTAACACACCCTCACTGCCAGGTATTGAGTAGCATGTACCATCTTTTCTAAAACAGAGAGAATTTATTTGGCATCATCTTATCTGGTCCCAGTGGCTGAGATACAACTTTCAGCCACTCCAGTCAGTACCTTTTCATTTTCACTGGCCTTTTCCCCCTTTTCAGACAACATTCCTCTAAGATTAGAGTCAGATGTTAGCTGGACCTTTTGTCATATATAACCAGCACCTGGAAAGGCTGTTGGAGAACTGCACCAATCTTGTGATGACTGGTTTGAGTTTGTCAGCTTGTTCTCATTGCTGTGATGAAACCTGACTTGGGAGAATTGTTGATTGTCAAATGTCTATGACAGGTCAGGAAGATTTTAGCAACACTACTGCAAATAATCTGCAGCCATTCTAAACCCTGCTGAATGCTGCACACAAGTAAGCCTCTTTTCAGTCCACATAGCTGAAAACACACCTCAGGCCTTTTTAAAGTAAGGCTTTTGTTCCACCTTGTAGGAGAACTTCTGTTCTTTGCAATGACATTGTTCCATCCAATCTTCATCACAAGGCAGATGACAAATTGGCATCCCTTTTGCTTTCGGCTTAGCACGTACCTTAGCATGTCTTCTAGGAGGATCTGCTCCATGATCTTCCCAGGCATAAAGGTGAGGCTCACCAGTTCTCTACTCCCTAGACTTGACCTGTCAAATATGAGTATAGGTATACGATTGCTTCCAAGCCTTTTCTGGCCCAACAGTATAATTATGCTCCAGGAGAAATCTGTGTTTGGTATGCTGTTTTGATGGTTCAGCATTTACTTGAGCTGAAAGTGAAACAAGTCTGCAGGTAGGTCCTGGCTTGCTTAGGAGTCTTAAGCACCCAAGCAAGTCTTGCATAGCCTTATTACTACCACTGTCAAATTCACTAGCACTTATTCCCTTGTCCTAGATCAAAATGATAATGAAGAAATTAAAGGAAAGACATATGCCAGGTGAGCAAGCATAAAGAAGTGAAGATATGGTATGCTATTTCTGTCCCTGTGGCCTACTCAACCCCACCTGCAGCTGCAAGTATCACTGCACATGATTCTGGAAAAGCAGAGGGGCTAAGTGCTGAAGTCTGCAATCTTTGGTTGGACATATGTTTAATACTTCCTTTCCCTGAATTTCACACTAGAAATGCTTTTTTTTTCACATGCATGAAACCTACTGAGAAACCATGGGTCCTATCTGGAGAGAGACTGTGCAAGTATTGTGTGTTTTGATTCCATGAAGATTATTTTCTGCAACAGAAAAGTGGAAGAGAAAGAAGCATTAGTCACAAACATGCTTAATTGAGATCTAATAGCCAAGGTCAATGTTCAGCCCAGAATAGATAGCAGAAGCCTCCTGTGATATATTTTTGTGATGAGAAGTTCATAACACACAGACTGATCTATTATTGGGTTTCACTATGAAAAATTTAGCTATCTCCTGGAATATGCTCAAATCTATTTTGCATCATTTCCTTGCTTTTTCATTTAAAAATATCTTTCCAATGAGACCTCATGACCATGCAAATTAGCAAGTCTGTGCTGTGTGGAAAGATTGCTGAACCTCCACTGAAGTGCAGCTATTTGTTCTCTTGCCAGCCCTCTGCAAGATGACAATACCCGTTTGTCATTGTCTAGAATGCTTTTCTGTGATTTAAACAAAAACCCTTACAGGGAAAAGATAAGTACTCAAGGGAAGATGCTGCAATGGGCACATTAGTGAGGAGAAGCTCTGGACCTTTGCCTTGAGCTGTGTTTTGCATCTCTGCAAAATACCAGTGCAGCAGAAGTGGCACAACTTACTTCCTGGTCTACAGCACCTCCCTGGTTTCTTGTGGTACTTCAGCCTACAGGACCAGCATAACCATCTCCTTGGTTTCTTCTTTCCAGCTTTTTCACATGGGGCTGTGCAAGATGCATCAGTGTTGCTTCCTAAACCAAGCATCTCCGAACATTTTTAGTCCACAAAACCTTTTCTCCTTCAAGTTTTCCTCACAGACCACAAAGTAACTATCTCCCCAAGCCTCTGAGAACACAGGAGAAATATGCTTTATAATGGCCTCACAGATCACTTAGAACTAGAGAACTGATGAAAGAAATGTCTTCTGAAGATGAAAGGAGTAAGGTCTCTGAAGATGAAATACTGAAGTCTTTGAGGAACACACCTTAGTAACTGTGGTACCTGAAAGATGCAGCTGTACTTTCCTTGCCAGGAAGACAGCATAGTACATTATTTGATCCAACTAAGTAAGAGCAGAGAACATGTTCCATGTGGGCACTAAAAGCAAGTGTGAATACACTAGGTGCTAAAAGGCCTTATGTTCTGGTGCACATTTGTCTTTTGTCTGTCCTTGGAGTGAAACATGGATGAAAAATCAAAACTCTACAATTCTAATAAAGATTTGTAGGGACGGTATGTTTTTATTACAGCACTGGACGCATGTGGGGACTCATTGCCCTTCAATGGACATGTGTACCCTTTAGAACTCCTGATCTTTTTTATTACCCTTAACTAATTTCTGTATGTATTGAATTTCACAATAGGTTCATGTATATTCATTCTGCTGATCTTGTGTTACACTTACAGCTAGTTACACTCATTCTCAGTTTTTGTCAGAAAATACAGAAAGAACTCCTGGGTCACTCTGCAATGTCTGTTTCAAGGATCGAGGAGTCTTTCTTATCTCTTTAGTGTGGAAATGTGCATTCTTTCTCCCTAGCTGGGGCAAATTTGCTAGTGCTGCAGTTACCAGACTAAACAGCATATTTCACTTCTGTTAGCAATCTCAAAGTGGCACATTTCACCTAAATCTAAATGGATTTTTACCCTGTTAAATTTTTACTCTGTCTCAGGAGTCTTGCAGTACCTGTTGCTGGTGCGCTCCAAGCTCCTGGTGGCAGCAGGATTGGAGTTGTTCACTATGATGCTCCCTGGAGCACCTCTTGCAGCACAGGTGTGATGTCCTCCAACACACAGCTCTCTCTTCACATGCCTAAGGGCTGGCAGCTGGCTCAGACCTCACTGCTCCTGGGGACACTGAGTAGACACAGTGCAAGAACCACACTGTATCACAGTAATTCGAATCACAGCCCTTCTGCCTATTACTGCAGTAGGCACCAGTGTAGGAGGTGCCCAGACAGTGGCCCCTTCTACTGAAAGAAGGCGTGTGCAGAAACCATTCCATATCCTGATGTTTACCATTCTCCCAGTCTGGAGATGGGGCAGTATGGTCCTCACCCTTTCTGAAAAGAGGGAGAGAGTTTGGGGGTGTTAGAGCAATGCACAAATATTATTGCTGGGAAGCCTGGCATCTGTCTGGGAGAGGAGTGCAGTCACCATCGTAATTCTTCACCTCATTTAACTGCCAAGTGACCTCGTGTGGGTACTTGTAGCCATTCCCAGCACAGCAACCCCCTGCCCACAGCTACACAACACATCCCTGCTGAGCAACACCACTGTCCATAGATCATATACAACATATATGTGCTCAGCAATTCACACTCCTTCAGCTCTCTCCCCCTCATATCACCTATGCCTCTGGATAACAACATTGTACCTGCTCCTACAACTATAGGTTGTTGTATGTCTCTACTGCACAGACATAAGATGTGCAGGGGCTCTCTGGGAGCACAAGATCAGCACATGCTTAGCCAGGCACTAAAAGATGCACCCACCCTGTCTCCCCTAGCCTTGCCACCACACAGCTCTTGTGCAGTTAATTCTTAGATGCATTTTGTTTTCATGCTGTGGCATGAACAAAGAATAAATTCAGCTCTGTCCCATTCATTTTCCTCTGCTTCTGGCTCAGGGGAAAAATCCCAGAGAAGCAGATCTGTAAGGAGAAGCCTGAATGCCTCTCTGCAGAACCAGCTTATGGGAAGCTGGTGCTCCTGAGTGCACCTTGCTGCTCACATTTCTTGGCCAGTAACTACAGGAAATCAATCATAGTAGTTTCTCCCAAAGCACCATGTGGATCCCTGCAGGATCTCCAGCAGCTCCAGCTGGCAGGGTCCATGGGAGTCAGCAGGCACAGACTTGGTGAAGCCTCAAGTTCCCATATTACATGGCGTTAAGTGTAATTTTCTGCCTTGTGCAGTGGTGAGTTTTAACAAGTATGTATCAAAGGCATGCAGTCAGGAATGGCCCATGACTGAGGGTAGCAGTCACCTGAGTCTGACAGGGCTGCTAACAACCAAGACCCATTTGTTACTGCTACACAGCTTGTGTGCTCTATTCACGTTGCCAACAAAATGCTATTAGAAGTGCTTCAGGCAAAATGTCTCCCTTGGAGAGCTAGCAGGGTTGCCTGCCCATATCCTTTTGGACCTTTATTCTTCTTTGTAAATCTTTCAAGCTTGATGACTTCAGCTTTCTTTCTCCTGAGGTCCCCTACGCTTCCTAAAAGCACCTCAGTGTCACCACCCTCAAGCCTGAATGCCCTAATCTGAGTATGATCCAGCTAATACAATCAGACATCTGTGTATGTGTGAGGAGAAAACTGAAATGAGATTTCACCACCTGACTGCCCATCATTTCTGGACAAGATATCTCCAGTTCTCTCAGGACTGCTCACAGTTGCACATCTCATCCTCCCCTATCTCCAGGAAGTGACAATTCACTTTCCACCTTGCTCCCCTCCCATCCCATCCCCATCATCACTACCTGCACACTTGGCTGTTGCTGATCTCACACACTTCCAAAGGCACTGGCCCTGCTTTTAGCCCTGCAAAGGAGGTATGACCCAGGCAGAGCCATGGTGCTTGCAGAGCCCACAGCCAACACAGCTGGGGCTGCTCCAACCCAGAGAAAGCACCTAATGCCTGAGCACACGCTTCCCTCTTATGGCCATGCCTGATACAGCAACCACGCAGGCCAACATTTTCACTGGAGATGTGATTTGCCTATGAATATTTATGAATTTCCTATGAATTTATACCTATGAAACATTTCTCGTGGTTTCCTCTCACACTTGTTGGACACAGACATGTCTCCCCTGCAGTCGAGGCTCAAGCACAGAGCAAGCTTTGTAGCCCTGTCTGGCTGCTGCTGAGCAACACACACTGTGAGCAGTGTGAGTGGGGAAGACATGAGTGCTCAGTCCTGCCTGCAGCATCACACTGTCTCTCTGATCAAAGGCCAAGTATCAATCCCTGGTCCTGGTAGGTTTTCCCTCTTGGGAGTGTACAGCCTCGAACATTTTTCATTTCCTCAAGTTAAGTATGTCTTTTACTTGCTTTGACTTTGAAGGGCAAGTTTTTAACTACCTAGCTATGGGTAGTTAAGGGCCCTGTTAAATTTCTCCTTTGCCCCATTTCACTGTATGGCAAAGTCTCTCTCTTATCTATAATAATATGCTTGCCAAAAGGAGAGACAGCAGCCTTCTGTTTTCCTGTATTGACCTTTTTCTCTGAACTGAACTTCAGGTCCTTTCTGTGCTCCCATCACCCCTGATATTAGATTTTGTAATTGAAAAGCAGTTTGCTGCACAAATGGGGTAGTTTCCCCTTATATCTAATCTATGGCTACCTTCCTCCAGCAACCAGTTCAGTTCACAAGCTGAAAGAAAATTTTCCATGGGATAATTTTCTATTGGATGACTTGAATTGACTCTCTCTGCAAGTAGAAAGTTTGAGCACTAAAAAAAAAAAGCTCCTTTAGCCATGTCTTTTGCCAACTTGTCCATCTTCTTTCTTCACTAATTTTTTTCTAAAGAGAGGCAAGAAATAAGAACCTGCAAAACTGCACTTGGTACTGGAAAGGTGGCAAATTGCTCCTTCCTTGCTCTCCAAGCTAAGGTTTGATCACACTAAGGCTCAGGTAGTAGAGCCTTGTCCTCACTGTCTTTCTTCTCTGCAGTATGCTGTCTTCTCATGTGCCACCTTTGTAATAGCATCGGTATGGATGCTATTGAAATGAACAAAAGGATGAAATGAAAACTATTAGAACGTCATTTTCCAGGGAACACCACTTTTAGTTCTGTTGTTCTCCCAGGAAAAGGTGAATAAGGAAGAACCTGTCCAGTCTCCTGCAGTACTAACAGCACAGTCAGAAGCAGCAGCAGTTATGTTGCCCTTGAAGTCAGCCATAGCAGTTTGATCATGCTCTGCTGGGCTCTGGGCTCTTTACCAGAGTTTCACAGAGCACTCTGCAGCCACTGAAAAAGTGAAACCACATCTGCTCTGAACCTGTTTGTCAGGGTTGGAAAGAGG